TAAAAAAATGTGTTTTTTCAAAACGTTAAATGTGGTTACAGCACAGTCGTTCAGTGTTTTACATACATATTTAGCCATTTAATATGTTATAAAGACTGGTAACATACCATTTAAAAACATTGGTCCTACTTAAGACAGGCTATATGTAATGAAAATATTTTTTTCTAAGTTAGAACTTCTAACTTCATACTTTTTATTTACTCACACTGACTGTTTTCTAAACATTTTTTTTTTGAGTGCAATAAGTGTGAAGATTTGTTGCTTTTGTGCTGCAAGTTGAAAATGTTGATGGGCACTTTTCAATATTTTCTGATATTTTAGAGACCAAATGTTTAGTCCAGGGGTGGGCAATCATGGTCCTTGAGGGCCGCTGCATGTTTTCCAACTATCCCAGCCCTACCCACTGCTGATTACCTGGATCACTAGTCAACCAGCCCGTCACTCACCAGCAGAGGGAGTGTGGCATTTTATGTTTCGTGACATTAAATCTACGACTAAGGGCTACCCATCGGTCAAAGCTGCCACGATAGCAGGCAGGACAGAAGTCGACTCACGGCCCAGGCCACCGATTTAACGTTTCAGTTCAAACCGAACCGGGTGACATTGGTGTAGGAGTAAAGCAGGGACTTCGGTGAGCGGACCGCGGGCAGAGCAGTGAAGATGCCAGTATGTGTTCTGCTTGTCCAACAGCTGTTTGATAAACGGCTCATCTTGGTGCACTATGGAGCCCCCCCTCCTCTAAACAAAGACCAGCAGCGGGACAGACAGCATCAACCCGAGAGGTTGTGTACTGCTCGTTGGGCTCGGACAGTGGAAACACGCCTGAGTCCAGCGTTTCTGCAGGTTGGAACAGTGCTAAGGCAGTAAGTTTGGTTTCTTTAAAAAAAAAGTCTTCAAAGTATGAAAAAGGCCTAAAGCTGTAAGATTCAAGCTGTTCACTCAGCTCTAGTCAAGTTTCCATCAGGATTTCCAGGAAATGGTGAAAATAAAACATGAGTGAAGTCTTGCCACCACTGTGACAGACAGACCAGAGTCAGAACATTTTTCGACACTACAAAGCTCCTTTCTTCTTCTCGGGGCTGTGAAACATGTCTCGTCCTCTGAGCTCACAGTGAGTGGAGGTGTACCTGCCCTGTAGTTGCCCTGCAGCTCAGTCCTCGGACGGTCCCACCCCAGTGCCCCAGACCTTCATCTTGTTAGGAATACACTCCAGCAGCGCAGGAGCTTTGTTCCTGTCCTGAGAGACAGCCCAAAACCTGCATTACCTTTCACCAGCTAACCACGAGGAGGCTGGTTTCTGCAGGTTCAGGGTTACAGCCATCACCCCTCACTGACATTAGGTACCTGTTTCAGCATCGTCCCACAGGTGTGATGGAAACAGTATGACCTAGAATAATTTCTGTTTCCCATGTTTTCAGTTCTTCTAGTGGTATGTAACAATAGCACTTAGGATCTTAATAATTGTGTTTACGTGACCTGGACAGACAGCAGGTGGGTAGACTAACAAATTAAAACTGAGTTTCAGCTCTTGTAGGTTTTCTGGTCATTCCATTTGAATTTGGGGAACTTTAGCTGTTTAGCTGTTTCACTGATGTGTTGTACATTGAATATTGTTTGGATTCAGTTCAGTTTTATTTGTAAATCCCAGCAGAAGTCGTCTCAGGACACTTTACAGTGACTTGATCATGTAACATTGGTGGTGCTCAGTGTAGAGGGTGTGGCGGGGTGAGTGTGTGCGTGCAGAGGAGGTTACCGTGCCTGCAAGCTGTGTGGCTTTATAATGCTCTGATTGTGTTCCTGTATGGACCTGGAGCTTCATTCCTATCCTGTGCTGTCAGCTCCGCCTGCAGGCTCCTGCAGCGGCGGGCGCTGGCGCAGTGTGGCGTTAATGTTGTGGTAAAATACAGGAGTTGTGTTGATGTTGCACGGATGAACCAGAGAGAGCAGCCCAGGTTTAAACATACCGCAGTGGTCGACCCATATGGGCTTTTCAGTGCTGATCTTTACAGAGCTGGGAGGCCCGTGGCCGATACGATGGCAGTATCATGTTGTTGTTTTGTTTTTTCTTTTTTCACTAGATAAAATACAACAATTTAATATTAATAAATGAGACGCGTATTAGCTGAGCTAAATGAACATTTACATAACACTGATGAATTAAAAATACTGAAGTAGTGGTCTCTGTTCGCTGCTCTCTGTGCTCCACGTATGATTCTACACTGAACAAATAATCACAAAGTAAACTCTGGGGAAACAACAGGCAAAGCTTCCTGCGTCTCTGCAGGCGTTTGTTGTTAATCAGCCTTGTAAATGCAGACGTTCACCAGTGTTGATTATTTAAATGTGCCAAACATCGGCCTACCGATTTAACTGGTCTCCCACTTGTTAAAAATCAGCGAGGGCCTCGGTTTGCTTCTCGCCCGCTTCCTCCGTGTGTTCACGTCTGGCTCACAAACGTTATTCGCTGCCATGTGAGAAACAACTGGAAGGTGGTTTATTTCACAGGCCTGCTCTTTTTTTATTCTCCATCAGGCAAACTGATTTTGTCCCAGTAAGCCCTCGGTGCTGTATTTCCTCACCTTCATCCTGGGTCAATTCAGGAAACGTCTTTTCAACGAGTTGCATTCTCCCTTGGGGCGTTTCAGCAGTATGGGAAGAGCCGCCCCAAGCCACTGCTGCTGTCAGCCTGATCGCTGCTTGTGTAACGTACAGGGCTTGTTGGAGCAGCATCGGGAGGCACTGTGTATGAGTGGTCGCCGCAGGGCCCGGGCGGCGCCTGTCCTCGGGCTGCAGACACACCTGAGATGTGAAGGTGTGGTGATCCTCCTGCAGGTCTGGACTCACTCAGTGATTCAGCCAGTGTGGGAGATGCCACTTAATGCTCTGCCTGCGGGTTCAGGTGCCTCTGGAAAATAAAACTACCACTGCAGAGGGTAAAGCTGTGAGTCTACAGGCTCACAAGAGGTGGACAGAATAACAGAAACACCTTGTAGTATAGAGAAATAAAGTACATACCGTACATAATATAAATGTTCTGAGATTCACAAAGGCCAAACTGGTGTTTTCATCCTCCAAGCCCGCCCACTTATATTTCTGTCCACTTTTACAGAGCCTTGTAGAGATGTCTTAGTGGCATGGACTTTACTTGAGTTTACTAGAGCTGCAGCCATGAGTCAGTTCACTGGTAGACAATGAACCTCAGCTATTTAGAAGCAAGTCACCGACATGTTCTTGTTCCACCTTCTTTAATGTGAGGAGCTGATGCTTTTCTTTGTCAGACATGAGAATCATCTTGGCTTTTAGTCTAAGCACACTGGATCCTACATTTCCCACAACACATAAATGTCTGTGCAGATTCTCAGTCATCCAGGTCATAGTAAGCTGAAAAAAACTGGACTAGATTTCTAGGTCGAAGGCGTTTCACCTCTCATCCAAGAGGCTTCATCAGTTCTGCCCGACTGGTGTTGAACCAGAGATATTTATTCCCCTCTGTGGTGTTTCAGTCCTTTGAAAGCCAACAATGTCCCCTACCAACTGAGTCGTTGCAGCCCAGTATCGGTGAGAGTCGTTACCTGTCTTTGAAACCTCCCCTGTGGACCGACACCTATTGTCCTGGTGGACATGTTTGGGCAGAGATCTCAAAACAGGATTGTAGATGGATGACAAGTTGTGTCTTAGTCCACCACCCCTCTTTAGTGAGGGGTGTTCTATTTTTACAAAAATAGCTTCCTTGACTCCTCTCTCAAACCAGCGATGTTCTCTGGAGAGGATCTGGACTTCACTGGTCTCAAAAGAATGTCCTTTGTCCTTCAGGTGGAGGTGGACTGCTGACTCTGGTCCACTGGAGTTGGCCCTCTTGTGTTGGGCCATGCGTTTGTGAAGCGCCTGCTTAGTTTCACCAACGTACAAGTCGTTACACTCCTGACTACACTTACAACGCATGAATGTTGTCTTTCATTAGTTGCGTGTTTGTCCAGCGCTGCAATGTGTAATGCGAACTTTCTCTGTCTCCCCCCACAGGTGGCTTCAGGCTCGGGTGCAGGCTCCGCCTGGCTGCGTCCCGCCAGCAGCTCCGTCAGCGAATCACACGAGTTAACCTCAGGGACTTCATCTTCTGTCTGGAGCAGGACCGCACCACGGCTCACTCTCTGATGCTCTACAAGGCTCTGCTGAAGTAAAGGGTGGGCCCGCTGCAGATGATGAGCTAAACTACGCTTCACGGGTGTTTCAGAGTCTGGGTCCCTCCTCGAGTCCCCGCAGCACCTTCTAATCACCGGTTTGTTCTCCAGACTCTCATTTCTAGTTTTACACGCCCTTTGAGAAGGATGTCTGTTTTAGCCCACGCAGGTGTCTCCTTTTAGACTGCACATCACATGTGAACTCCATGTTTGCTGAGAGAGAACTCCACTGATTTTTAACGGCTTGGTGACACCAGGGAGCAGCACAGCGAACAGGGCTCGCTGGTGACTCGCCGTGCTGCTCACAGCAGACAAACTAAACTACCGGGGGAACCGGATCCTAACGAAGCTGAATGGACTGTCAGTGTTTCTTACTGGATTTTATTTTGGCGGTACACTTGCAACTATTCAGGCAGCAGTTTGTTGACATGCCAGTCGAGGAACATGTCACAGATTCGCCCATCTCTGAACTACAAGCTGGAGGCAGACGTGAACGTGGCGCTAGCCTGAAGTGCAGCTGTCTCATAACTGCGTGTGAACCAGTGACACTTTCCCAGTGAATTGAATCAGAACATTTGACTTGAAGTGTAGCTGCAACTAACCATGACTTTCATTATTGATTAATCTGCCAATTATTTTTTTCGGTTAATTGTTTAATCTATAAAACATTTTAAAAAACTGTGGGAACCAATTCCTGGAGCAGGAAGCAATGTTATTAAATGTCCTGTTTTGTCCAAATCAAAAACTACTCTATTTACTACAGTATTATGTAAGACAGAGAAAAGCCACAGATTCTCACATCATAGAACCTGGAACCAACAAATGTTTGTCTTTTATGCTTAAAATGGCATTAACCATTATTATGAATATGTTTCAGTTCTGGTGTGACCGGCCGTTACGCTGACTGAGTTTTTTTTAATGGATCAGATTTGATGCGACGGAATAAGAGCGATCCACTTCTTTTATTCTGCACACTTTTTCCCAAACCTGGGTCCTAAATTACCCACAATTCATCTGGACTTCTGACAGTTGAGTGCAGGATGCAGTAGTACTCTACAACATCTGGAAGAGTAACAGTTGGATCTCAAGTCTGGGGTGTAGGCAGACTTGTTATGATTCAGGTTAAAGGAAAACCAACTTCTCCCCAGAATCTGCTCCTAGGTCTTGGGATCTAACCCTAAACTGGGAACACTGAGCTGGAAAATCGGTGGAGTTCAACTTTTTAAAGCAGCAGAAGCTAATGTACTGACTATTGTGCAGGTCTGAAAGGAGGCACCGTTTCCTGTGTGTTCTGCTTCCAGTGTTATCCAGACTGTGATGAGCTGGATTATTCACAAGGTTTGGGATGCAGCGCTGTACCTACACAGGTGCCTTTGAGTTGAAGCTTTCCCAACCTCTTCATTTAGATTTTCTGTCCTACTCAGGACGCCAGGCTCGTGACCGCCTCCTCACTTTGTTTTTAAAGTTTCTGATCACACTCGGGTCTGAGAGGTCGGTCACTTTTTGCATTTTAAGTCGTTCTCTGCTACAGGGTGGAACTGAATAATGTATTCTGGATATTTTGCTCAGCATCGTGTTGTCAGAGGTACGTGCACTGTGAAGCCTCAGCGGTTGTATGGACAGTGAAGGAGCAGAGGGAAAAGTTGGTCTAATTTTAATGTGTGTTTGTGAGTTCTATCATGTGTGCGTGGGAGTAGAGACTTGTGGATTTATGGGATAATTATGCTGAAAACAGTGACACCTGACAGACTTGAATGGTTAAAGGAACAGTTCAACATTTATGTAAATCCTCTGGACTTTCTTTATGGGGTGCAGTTGTTCAGACTGAGCCCAGTGTCTTTCTGTGTGTTAATTATGATGCTGCTGCCTGTTAGCTTTTCTTAGCTTAGACACTGGAAAGGAGGGAAACAGTTGGCCTTCACTCAGCAGCACTGCTAAAGCTCAACGTGTACAAAGGCAGGTTGTGGTATTGTGGATGGATGTGTCACGGATGAATTGTTGGCCCATTGTTCCAAAACGTCCTGGTGACAGAGCGAACATGGTGGTGGGTGGTCATAGTGATGCAGCTGAAACAAGAAAACCTGTAGTTGTCCTAAGGACAGTCCTATTAATCTTCATTTAGTTACAGTCTACCTGGTGCCATGTGTCCTAAGACAGTGTGTACACAATCCGAGCAGCTGTGCACTGGGTGATTCAGGTCATGGCTATGATTGTAGGACAGTTTTTCTACTGACAGTAGAAAAGAAAAGTACCGTTAGTGAAGGTGAACAGCTTGTTGTGGACAGTTTCACTATGAAAACAGATGAGTATGCATTGACCTTTTTAATAACCTTTTGATGAATTCCCCTATTTCTGGTCTTTATCCTTTAAGCTAAGCTAGCTGTTTCCCTCTGTTTCTAGTCTTTATGCTACGCTAGTAGCTGCTGGCTGTAGCTTTGTATTTACTGTAAAAACATGAACGTGGCAAAGACAAGAGGAGGATATATCTAAATGTTGAACTGTTCCTTTAACACAGGTTCTTCACGCAGACGGTTTTAGATTTGACAGTCGTCACAGGGAGCTGGCTCTCCTACAGGCAGTAAACTCGCTCAGGCTACGATCATGAAGGCTAACAAATGACAAACATTCCTGCAGTTTCTCCTCCTCCCAGCTGACATGTTTCCTCTTTTTGCTCAACTATGAACTTTAGGATTCAGATCTCGACCTGGTGAAATATGAATTTGTCAGTAGTTGAACGTGCAGTTTGGCTTCACGGTTTGCTGGTGGAAGTTTTAACAATGACTTGTTTGGGAAGGTTATGTACACACAAGGTTTTTAATGCTTTAAATGTCTTTTGTTCCTCATATCAGGCATTTGGTTTGTATAGTATATAGCTAACTGCTAACGGCGCTGTGGTGTATGTACTGTATAGTCATTCAGAGTCTGGGGCCTCAGTGCACCCACCTTCAGTCTCATTTGTTGGAAGGACAATTTTTGCGACTATTTATATTTCCCACATTCTGTATTCAATCCTGATGTATTTCAGGCAATGCAATTTTACAGTTGTTTGTACCTTTGCAAAAAAAAGAAATAAAGAAAATTAGAAAGAATCAGGTTTGTGCTCATTTGGATTGTGTAGGATTTGATCATCAAGATGCCGTGATCAATACATCTCTACCAGCTGAGAAACAGACAACGCAAGTTAATACTTTAAATAGAAATTTTCAAAATGGCAGTTATATAAAAAGAATTAAATTATGTGCCCTGTGGCATCTGTACACTTATAAAAATTACCTTTCCATTCATCTGTACACACACACAGTATTAAAGCTGCTCCTTTCAAACAAAGCTGAATCTTGTTACAAATATAATTTACATGTGAAAGCTGAGTTTGGTTTTACAGATGTTGTCAGACTCCCAGTGAAAAACACTGGATCCACGCTGAAGCTCTCTCACAGCCTGTTCTGATTTCCAGAGGTCAAAGGTCTCTGAACGCCACTTCTGTGACCTCCTCAGGTCTTCGGGTCTCAACGTGATTTTTCTCTGCACCTGCTGAGACCTTGGCAGGATCCAGATGCGAGTACACTCACTGAGATACAGTTTGTAGTTCCTGTGTTGGCGGTTTTCAGTCCAGGGGTTCCTGTTTGATCCGGATTGGGGTGCTGGTGAGGGACTGGCAGTGCTGCAGGTCACGACACAGGACGTACTCGCTGAACTGGGACGAGTCGACTCCTCCGCCGCAGGACGCCTTGATGCTGAAGCCCTTCTGAAAGAGACGCTCCAGGACCTGCCGAAAGGAGTGGAAGTGTCAGGTGACGTTACAGGCAGAGCAGCTGTATTCCCAGTCGTGGTGAGTCTAAACCCAGTCCTGTTTCCTTTAACTAAGTGCACAGTAACTAAGCCAGATGCCAGCTCCAGGTCTAAGCCTGATCACAGCTGAAGGACTTTGTCCTAGAAACTGGACCTCAGAGGATTTGACCACAGTTTATACAATAATGATGTTTGTGGAAGGCAACTGGGTCACTGAGTGAAACCGTTTCAAGATATCCAAGTTCTATACTATAGTACATGGGCTAGAAATATTCTAAAATGTGAATTTTGGAACCATTTTACTTTTTGGTTGAGAAATTCTTTGATTTATTTTAAGCAGACTTAACCAGTTTAGAGACACACCAGCTGATGCTTAGGTGTGATGTTTACTGTTACACTTTAGCATGTTAGTGTGCTAACATCAGCTAATCGGCAGTAAACACAGCGTCCAGCTGAGGCTGATGGGAATCTCATACTGTAGGTTCAGCTCTAATTCAAAGCACTGACCAGATGATGTACTTTATATATGTAATTTACAATAAATTACAGAGGTCCACTTTTAAAGTTTCACCTTAAGAATGTTGAGTACCATTAAATATTATAAAAATCAACTGTTTTTAGAAGTAGCAGCAGGTTTTCTACCTCCCAAAACTTGGAAGAGCTTGTCTCGTAATTATCACTTAGCATCTTGTAACTACTAGATGCAGGGGTTGAAGCGCTGCAGAACTTTCCTGAAACTCACCAGGTTGACAAATTCTTCAGTGATCGCTGTCAGTAAAAATGAACATTTAACCGTTAATTCGTAGTACTTACTGTTCCAAAGCGTAAACAAATACAGGCTAAACACGGCGCCCAAGCTGCAGCCAACAGGAAGTCATTACAACATTCTGCTGTCTGTTTCTTGTATGATCTGTTCACATGATTGAACTTTTAATGCAACATTTTCCAAAATACTAGACAAAACCAACATGTTGAAAATGTGGTATTTATAGTTCATATTCACCATGTGCTGTAGACAGCCTGACCCGACAGCCTTGTTGGAGCTAGACAGTCTGTCGTCCTAAATACCAATATGAAATCCTGCTGTCATAACTATGACAAAGCACTGAACGTTAAACGTCATAGTGGGAACGGATAGAAACTTTGACAAGCAACAGGAAGTAGACTACATATTGGTGCCACGGAAACAGTGTGTTACAGTGTGGCTGCCGTTCTAGCCTAGCCTAGCCTTGTTTACGTTTTGGAACACGGTACGCTGAATTAACTACGAACAGTTCACGTTGGCTATGCAATACTGGATGTACTGACATCTATCACTGAACCAATGTGATGCTAAAGAATCTGTTAAAACCTGATGATTTTCAGGCTGCTTCTGCATCATCTCAGTTTCCATCTGCATTTCTGTCTATTTGAACTTCACAAAGCTTTCAGTTGTTTTTACATTAAGCATTAATGCAAATGCAAAACATGAAAGCAGTGCAGTAGAACTGTAGAATAACACTTAAAAATCATTTCTACAGTCTCAGCTCAAACCTTTTACAGTGACCCTAACCCCTCTTTATACAAAATGTGCACAAGTTACAGAGGGTTTCCACAGACCCCCTGTTTCTCATCAGATATCTGCTCTGGAGCCAGCGAATTGAATTTTCAGGTTCTCCCCGACTCAGTGCCAGCTTTAAAGGGTAAGTTCACCCAAATCAAAAACCTGCCTCCACCCTGATACAGTGGAGGTGAGTGGATTTTTATTTGTGCTGCTCACAATTTAAATTCAGCAACATGTCTAAACACAGAATCCTGGATCATCCACAGTCCTCACCGGCATCATTAATACCTTTCCTTCAGTAGAAATTAGTTCTAGTGTGGAGGCAGAAACCTGAAAACCTGGACATAAAACCAAAATGACCACCAGACGTAAATCGGTAAAATACTTGCTTTGCTTTTTTTGTGGTTTGTGTGAACTGGCCCTTTAAAAGCTCTGATTAGCTTGTGGTGAAGGTGTGGACTGACCTGCACTGAGTTGAGCCTGCAGTATCCATTCAGGGGGAAGCGGATGACGTGGGTAGGGTCCTGGTTCCAGCCGGCGTTCACAGAGTTACACATGACGTCTCCGGTCTCGGGGAAGACCTCCTCGATCAGGACTTTCTCCCCGCTCAGAGCGATCCTCTCACCCAGGTCGGGCGTGACCCGGACCACCAGACACTCGCAGGGTGATGCCCGCTGGGCCTCCCGCTCCGCCTTCCAGCGTTCCAGCTCCCGAACCATCTGAGTTAGTTGGTAGTAGCGAGCCTCCTCGTACAGCTGGGGGAAGTCCTGATGGGGGCCACGCAGAGGGGCACGGTTAGTGAGCGGGAAAGGACAGATTAAGGAACGACTAAGGACTGACAGGAGGCACTGAAGGACTTTTCTGTCAAGTTGCTGTTTCCGAGGTGAAGAATAAACGTTCACCACCTTTTTCTAACAATTCCTAAACTACACAAGTCTATTTTTTACCTGCATATTTCCTTCTCTTGATATCAGGCCTCAGCTACAGGACCTGGCAATCAAGTGTTGTTTTTACATAACTAATCTAAGAGCATCTTCAGAGGAGGAGGTGTGTGTGTCTTTTCGGTTTTCTTCACTCCACCCAGCTCCTGTAAGCTTGAGGCTTCACGCTGTGTCAAAGCCTCCCCCCACCTCTGCCTCTCCAGACTGGAAGCGAGGGATAGATGTGTTTTAGAAAGAGGGCCTGTGTTAGTCATCCTGAGCAGAGGAGCAGAATAACAGAGGCAGCGTTCGCAAACTACAGGGAGGGAGATGAGAGATGCAGTATGCCTGCTGACACACACACACTAATTTAGTAAAACACACACTCGTCTGTGCTGTAAGCCAGTGTAGCGCTGAGCCGTGTGCAGCCGGCGGCTCTGCACTGATTAAAGAGGAAGAATGTGCCGAGTTAACAGACTCGCTGCCGTTTGTTCACTCTAACGAAGATAATGACGCTGCTGCACCAAGCAAATCTTTTCTTTGACCTCAAGCCGTGTTTCTCCATCTTTGCATATCTGAGCTGCGTTTACATGTTATTAGAGAAACACGGGAGAAAGCAGAGCTGCCGAGTTGAAGCTGTAATATTCATGTTACAACATCCACAGTCAGGGTCTCTGTGCATTTTAGGAATGTGCTTTTAAAGGTGCATTAACTCATTCTCCACACAGTCTGATAAACCCAGTGATGCCCTTTGTTGTCAAAGTACGGTCTGCAAATCAGTCCTGCCTGCCGCCAGTAGTCATGTCAAACAGCCATGGAGGAGCTCTGGGCGGCTAAAAGTCTGAACCAGTGGCTGCCAGAGTGAAGAGGTGGCGTCTTTAGCACAGAGAGAGTGGAACAAAGAGCAACAACCAGGGTTAACATGAGTTTAGTTGTTTGACATGGAGAGGGTTAAAAGCAGCCAGAGGACTCAGACTGGATCCAGATGTGTTCTTCCTTCTGGATGTGTTGGCATCTAAAGATAGCAACATAATTGTGGAATTAAAATTGTTAATATGATCAATTTGATTTTAATTGCCTTCCATGTCACCCAGGGACACGTTACCCAAAAAAAACGGGAAACTATGCTACTGAAAAAAGCTTGGCTAAAAATACGAGTCTTAGGTCAGAAGCTAAAGCAGCAGAGACAAAACACTTTCCTGATTTTCAACAAAGTTTTACTAATTATAGGTAACGGTAGAATATGTAAATGTTATTCACCTTCTGTCCCTCCATGCTTCCTGTACACAGATGTCCCTTTGGTCTCCTGCAAGAACCTGACAGGTGAGTTTCTGTGTACAGGAGTCATGGGGGGGGATAGAAGATAAATGTCATTTTGACATAACTACCAATATCTATACATAATAGAATCATAATAAATAAAAATAAAACATTATACAATTATTAAAACTTTTGTTGAAAATCAAGTTTTTCCTTCAACAGAAGAGTTCTTTAGAAGCCGCCTGCGCTGAGTGCAGTGCTTTACAGCATTTGCTGGCAACAGTGTTTGCTTTGCGCTCATATAGAGGTCAAACGTTTAAGGACACATCTATAACTGATGTAGTTACACAGTCTGAACAAAATGGGATCAACCGATTTCCCAACACAATTAATATTTCTGCCAGTTCTCCAAGTGTCTAGTTATTACTTATTTAAGGTAATTTTCTGTTTTGCGTCATGTTATATTTCCTCACTACTTTCTGGTATTATTTTCCATGGCCTCAGATCTCTTTTGAAAATGAGATTCATATAAAACTGCTTTGACTTTACAATTACTGTAAATCAGGATGTTTCAGTCTCTGTGAGCTAAATTATTCTGACCTGAGATTAGCTTCCCAGTGGACATTTCTGGGTCATTCGGTTTCCTCGCTGGATTTTAGGGCCTAACATGCAAAAGCTACTAGTTTGCAAAAGGTCAAGGTGCACACGATCGGAGAGAGCAGCCAACTGAACACCTGATAGCTCAAGGTCTGGTGATGCCCTGATGGACTGTCGAGCTACAACAGAACTAACAGAGGTGCAGCTGTTTATTTACCCTGCCAGGTAACGTCACCTGTCACCGATGCCAGTCGCAAATATCAGAAATGATGAAAACAACTTTGAAAATGAATGAAGATCTTTACAAACAATATCAGACACTGTCAGTCAGCAGCAAGCGGACCAGGCTGGGGGCGTTTGTTCAGCTGAGGGAGCCTCTGGCCTGGTCCATAAACTGTAACTTAGTTACCATGATAACTTACTCCAAAAATCTAACCCGCTCACAGACTGGAGCAGCCTCAGACTATGTGATGCCAATGCTGACGTCTCATCTCAATATAAACAATCACAATACTAACTTTTGATGCTGACACTGATATTTTCAACATGTTTCAGATGTTTTACTGCAGCCCTGGTATGACATTCTGGACCTGTAACTATACTTTCCACCTATGTTTGGGGTCAAAGTTCAGTTTAGAGGAAGGAGGAGGCATAAGCTGCATTTTATAGCTTTGTCTCTGAGCAGGGGGGCGATCAGCCTTTGCTTTGGTGTTGTGTCTGTAAAAATGAATCTCAGTGCAGACGCAGATCTGTGACCAAGCTGCAGAGTATTAGACTACTACCATGTCCAGCTCTTCCCAGCTACGGTACCTTGAAGTCTTCTGGCAGGAGCAGTTTACAGGTCCGCAAGAAGCTGAGGATGTAGCGGAAGATGTCTCCATCTCTATCGATGAAGTAGTGCTGTTTCAGACTGTCCAACACGATGGGCTCGGTCCCGTTGAACAGACGACTGATCCTGCAGACACACACACACCAAGGACACTGACTGGTCAAACACAAACTTTACACAACCACTGGTCAGAGACCAGCTTTGGTCATCATTAGCATCATGACAAGAACTCAGGTCGCATTTATTTACAGACCAAAGTGCTTCACAGAAACAAATTAAGATGTCCATCACAAATCAGCATGAGACAAAATGTCAAAAATATTACGCCCTGGAAATAAAATATGAGGATACTCAGTAAGGTCATTGCTGTGAGAACTCAGAACTAACTAAGGTGAGTCTATCTGAGAGGCCTACTACTGAAGGATGACAGCTTCAGTAGGAACTAATGGGCTCAGAGCTGAGAGCAGCGTTAACACACAGACTGAGCCGGGCAAGAAGAAAAATAGTGAAAACACACCAGAGGGATCCTTAAAAAAAAAAAAACAAAAAAAAAAAACCAAAGAGACAGCAACACAGAGGGAAGGCGTGAGAGAAACGTGCTTTGTCGCTGGCAGTCACCATCACACAGTGATAACTTGTGAAATCCATTATTTGTTGCTGTCACATGATATACAAACAACAAAACAAGTAAATTCAGAACCCCTGAGAGGCAAGTGGAAAAAATTAAATTCTGGTCCTTCAGTCTGATCTAATTTTGTTCTCCTCTGTGTTTAGGAACAGGTTTGCTAATCTTTTTAAATTACTTAATCCCCACCCCATCTGTGAAATTATAAGGAGAAAGTGTTTCTGTAATACTCGCTTCAGCCACAGAGGGGCGCTACACCATGTTCTAAATAGGGACGGGGTCTGGCTGTAGACTGTCCTTTAAACAGGACTTCAGTTTTCCTTGCAGGCCCCTTTTAATGACTCCATGCATTGTATACACAACGCACAATATGCGTTCACACGGGTCCAAACAAACCGCACAAACTGGGCAGAAAGCTCCAGCGTTCATTCCGACTTGAACTCAAGATCTTAGGTGTGAGAGCACAAACAGGCATTCACCACGTACCCAAAGTGCTCATTATGTTGTGTATGTAAGTTGTGAAGTGTCCCCGTGACCATGACTGACATTACAGTGAACTAAAGGCAGCTATGCGTTAGACTTAATCTCAGTTGTAGCTGTTAGCTATGAATAAAACTCGCTAGCTAGTGGGCTAACGGCTAACGTCAGTATAGCTAACGCTTCTGGCAGACTAGCGCCGATTAAAATACATTTCTAGTCAAAAGGCCGACTCCCAACCGGAAGGTTGAAGGTTCGAATCTCGGTGCCTGCAGTCCACATGTCGAAGTGTCCTTGGGCAAGACACCCACCTACCCCCCCGATGGTTAGAGCCATCGTTTGAGTTTCCGCCGCAGATGGCTACCATCGGTTCTGTACCGGTTCCTTGTGTGTAACATACTTGGCTAACAAAGGTGATTATCCCTATCCTAAAAGAAAGACATGACAGCAATTATACATAACTACTAACGCACGATTCGTGCACCTTGTGTTTACAAAGCATGAAGATTAAAACAGGAAGAAAACCTGTCGCGGTGGTTCGTATCGAGTGTTGCAAAAAGAGAACATTAGATCAGACTTATGGATCACCACAATTTTACTCTTCTTCTCCACTTGGCTCTCAGATGAGCTGTTTTAATATGTCACAATTTTATGGCCTTTCACAAACTAAACAAACTGAGGAAAGAATCAGCAGATTTAGCTATAAAGTCACGGCTGGCTGCAGCTGAGTGGCGGTGAGCACACATAGCCTTCTGACTAAGGTTCCATTTAAGCATGACATTTTCTCACACTCATCACAGACAGGAGTTCATTAGGAACAAGCTAATGGATGAGGTGAACCCCTCTGCTGCACACAGCTACATCTGTGCAGATTCACCCTCCATCAAACTGACTGGACCCAGTAACCTGGTGTTTGGACCACACGACTCATCCCCACACCTGTCTCTGCCCTCCTTGTGTTCTTACCTGGACTCTGGGTATTTGGTTAGCGTGGCCAAGCTGCTGGTGTACATGTGCCCCCCCACATCAATATGAACCGGGGCGTTGGCCTTGGTGAGCTGGGCAGGCGACGGGATGCCCTGGGCGGTCATGGGCGACACAGGTGAGCAGCGCAGAGACATCCTGGACATGCTCCGCCCCTCCTGCCACAGGTAAGAAGAGTTGAGAAGACACATCACAGAGGGTACACCAGAACTACTCTATCTACACCTCGTATCCCAGAAGGCCTTGCTGCTCTGACCAGGTTCACAGCTCAACATGATTCAACAGGTGATGCTGCTGATCACAACCTGTTTTCTCTTTAAATAAAACTTAATCAAAATGACCAAGATGAGATTCTTCTTTACTACTGCAGTATAAATACTCATGTAAAGTGTAGGGGTAAAAGCTGGAGCTGCTCGGATGTAATATCCATGGAGGGTGGAGCAGCAGCCACACTGCTGACACACCGGATGGGGATGGGGCCTGCGGGGCCTGCCTCACTCTGGATTCATGACCCCCACCACCACAAAGGGTCTGCGGCTTGTAAAAAAAAGAGCTTTGACGCATGAAAGGTGAACAGGAGGCGGCCGCAGCCCTGGGCCACACTCCAACCCCCACCAACCTGGAAACCGGTGTCAGCCAGGAATTGGCTGCAGCCGAAAACCAGTCCTGAATGTTTCGGGTGGTGGTGGTGGTGATTGTAAAACTAGAAACATACGGTGCAGATACGGATCCAAAGTTAACCTGATTTAAATCAAGTCGTGCGGGTGAACAGACTCCACATTAAGGATGTGGCTTTTCATTTTCTCACCTGAGAAATAAAATTTAAAAATACAGCTTCGACGCATGTTACCTTTAATATCTTTTAAATTTCATCGTAGCTAACTTGACGTAGTCCCAACACTCGTCTCTTATTTGTGTGGAACGCCACACACCAGACTCCATTAAAACTTTTAATACATTTAACGTGTCCTTACTAATCGGCAGGCATCGGCTATCCATTACGCCAGGTTTCAGAGGTTTTCTCAATAGTGAATGATATTTTGTTAAACTCGGGATGTAAGCTTTCCATGAACACCTACTTAATTTCTGAAATATTTACTTTTAGCACACAGTCACGTAAGACGCTCCCGCCCTATACGCCGTGTGGCGGTACAAGATGGCAGCTAAAATAGGCAGGGAGCAGTAAAAGTTTTTTTTTTTTTTACCAAATGCCTACAACTTCGGAATATTTGATATAGGCCGAATTTAACAGTGGACTATACATTTACGGAAAATACAATGTGTTTTTGTGTTGCTGATACATGCGTCTCCACAACCCATGAGCACGCAAAAACGGACATTTTAAAACGAAATTCGTGTTATAGTGTGTGCTGCAAATATAATATCGAAATATCGAGTTTTCACGTTTAGAACTTGAAATCTAAATGTGACAGGAAGCCACACACGGCTCGTTTCGCCTCCCTACCTGAGAGGACACCGACACTGAAGACATGGAGCAGGACTCAGACTGGGAGTCTGGCTGTTCGGTCCCGCAGTGTAAAATCTCAGGCTACCGGCTGGTAGCCGCGTCCTCGTCGGTCTGTCCCCGTCCCCCGATGTGCGCGCCGTGCGAAATAAGCTCTTCTGTGTTTCCTCGGAAAGAATGGAAGAAGGGATGAAAGAGACGTGTCGCCCAGGGCCCTTCAGACCCCCGGGACCAGGATTAGGTTACAGTCAGTCAACCGAGGAGAGAACAGCGAGATCCCCCGCCTGTCACGCACAGCTGGGTTGATTAATCAGAAGAATCAGGGCCGGCCCGTGGCATAGGCAGTATAGGCAAATGCTAAAGGCGCCGTACATCCAGGGGGCGCCAGAAATGGAGGAAGGAAAAAAGTGTAACTTCTACTATTCTTAAAACTAGACTTCAGAAAAGAATAAGCCCACCACATTAATTTAACTGCATAGCAGCAAAGCCTAAGTAGTAGTAGAAGTAATAATAATAATAATATTATAGCCTACCTGCCTAAGACGCCTCCCCTCTCTTCCAAATAATCCGACTTTACCTGCT